CACAACACTAATTTTATTCACGACACCATAAACGACTTGTCTTTATTTTCCCTCCTCGAATCTTGGACGGCAATTTGATTGGTTGGTTTTTTCAAGTCCTTCCCACACAAACAAAGCAAGAAGGCACATAGAGGGGGAAAACACACTGCACACACAAACAACGCCCCTTCCTCACCCATCTCTTCATTCGTGTTCATCTTCTGCCAAAACCAAAACGCCAAGCAGCATCCCTTCTCCCAGCAGCCGAGCCAGCTTCCGTCTCCCTTGCAGGCAGCTGTCTGTCCCTTGATGTGATCGCATCTGTTGGGTCTCTCCGTAACGCTCCCTGCAAACAACCCACGGTAATGGCAAGATCAAAACGCATGGCCGCGAGTCCATCGCCCGTGCTTGTCATCGTCGCAATCGTGGCCCTCTGTCATTCGGCAGGAACGGTGAATGCCAACGGCGACGTCAGCAAAGGCTTGTTTCCTCCTGTAACACCGATGGTTCCAGTCTTCTCCACGACTTGTGGGCCTCCCCCAACACCAGTGAGTGGTTGTGCGGCTCGATGTGGAGAAAGCCGCAAGTTACTGTGCACGCGTTCCCGCGTCCGCCACCGCCACCAAAACGCGTGCCCCTTCGCAAGCACTTGCAGTAGCCACCCACAGCACAACATAACATAACAGAACAGTAACATAACATAACATACCCGTGGGCATCGCCATACCCATCATCATGCTTGGCTATCACAGTGCCTCGTGGGGCCAGCGAACTTGACAGATGCTGCAGCAAGTGCAACAACGGGAGCGTCCTGGCGGTCACCCCACGGCGTCAACCGCGTCAACGTGACCATGGATCTCCGTGGCCTCCAGGTATGGCTCTGTGTGTGTGTGTGTTTGGGAGAGCGTGTATGTACATGTGTATATGTGAGTTCATGTGTGTGTGCGCTCGTGTGTTGTGCATTTCTGTTATCGTCTCACACCACCGCTCTCTCTCTCAATCACACACACACACACACACACACACACACACACACACACACACACACACACACACACACACACACACACACACACACACACACACACACACTCTCTCTCTCTCTCTCTCTCTCTCTCTCTCTCTCTCTCTCTCTCTCTCTCTCTCTCTCTCTCTCTCTCTCTCTCTCTCTCT